AGACCAGAGCAGACACCCTGCCCTGCCTTAACACCAGCTTCAGTCTTTCTCATTGAGGGCAGAATCTCTACCCAGTAAAAGGAAGTTGTGAGGGGAAATACCATCTCTCTGATATATCACTCTAAGAAACGCAGAGAGGCTCGCCATAACCTTCGGGACGGCGACAAAAGAACATCTCAAACACACAACCTCGCCCTTTGGCTCTTAACCCAGAAGGAGCAGAAGGACTTTTCTTCAGCGAGTGAGTACGTTAAGTGTTCTCTTCTTATGGAATAACTTGGTAGAACTAATTACCAGCAGCCCATGATCTTTTAAATAAACATACCACCACTCCTACCTCTATGTTGACTTCAAGGTTAGAGGGGAGAGGGCTCTAGGGAGGGAGGGTCTCTTATTGCCATAGGAGCTCCCAATTCCCAGCACACTTGGAAAAGCATTATCACAAGGTGGGTGGCCCACTCTGTAAATTTCTTAGGTGGGAGCAAAGACCAACTTTCGAGTTCTTCCAGCCAGCAAAATTCTGGGGATCAAGTCTCTCCAGGCTAGCCCAGGTTGAGTAGCTGGTGGCTGACAACAAAAGGATCTGCTGTGGCTGGCACTTCAGCTCGGGGAGTGCTGGCCCTGAAGCTCCTGTGAGCCGTGGGCGACACACTGGGCTGTAGTGGCGGTGGCCCGAGATGGCAGTGGATCCGGCGAGCATGTTCATTTCCCAGTTCTGACATATTTACTCGGCGAGGTGGAGGAGTATCTTCCTCACATAGTGACACCTAAGATCAGCAGTAACTCTGGCTAGGTGTTGTCCTCGTTTCTCCTTTTTTGCTAGTAGATTTTTCTGTTTCTTGGGATCCATTGCCCCTTTAGAATATTTTATGGTGTTTCAGTAGACACGTTTAAGAATTGAGACTCTTTTGTGTTAATGTTAAGAAAGTTGCTTCATGACTTAGATAAAAACAGCCATGCTGGTTGCTCCGCTTATTTGCTGTTGTCCAGAAGAGAATTTTAAATTGGCCAGCAGGTACCATTTGTGTGTCTAAGAAAGCCAGACACACCTACTAAGAGCAAGTGCTCTCCCAGAAGAGCTGTGGTTAGTTCTTAGAAAAGGTGGATAAAGTCATCTGAGAGAGCTGCAACTTTTGCTTTTCCCTCCGGGCAGCACCCTGGGTGGAGCTCTCTCTATAACCTTGTAGACTCCATACACACAGACAATTAGAGAGTTTTACAGTCCAATAGGCAACCTTCCTTCCTTCCTTGATGGGTGATACTGATTTCCTCTTTGTTTTCTTTTCCAGGTTGTGAAAATAAATCCACAACTTTTGGAGACCCAAGAACACTATCCAATCTCTCACTGGTGTGTTTTGCAAGCATCACTGCCTGGAGACTTCTACAAGGGGGCAATTGAACTGTCTCTGTCCCCCTGCCTGCCGTGTACCTTCTGGCCTGAGGCCTCATTCAGCCCCATCTGGGGAGCTGGGAGGCTCCCAGGTCTCACTGAATTATTGGCTCTCATCCCTTGGCCCACACGCCTGGAGGAATGGGCCACATGCAGAAGACAGGAGCCCCACTGCTCCGATGGCTACAGCTCAAGCTCTTTCTGCTCTCAGTGCTGGCTGGTCTTTCACATTTGTCTTTAGGTAAGTGGCTTTCAGGAACTTCAAACTAAGACACTGCTACGGGGTCTCTGTGTTGCCCCCTTCTGCCATCTGATAAGCTGGAAGGGACCTTCTGGGCTGTTTCTAGCACAAGGTAGGGATCAAGCTGTGGTGCAAAGAGGAGGAGACCTGCCTGTGATCAGAGAGCAGTTAGCCGTGCAAGTAAAGGCAAGAATCTAAACCTTAAAGGAAAGGTGGGGCTCTGTGACTTTAGTAAACAAATCCAAAAGCCAATTCAGGATTGTTTTTGAGCTGTGACCACTTCCGTGAATACCAGGTGCTCATTCTCACTTTGCAATGTGCCAAGGATGTGAGCCTTAAGGGGTTTGGTTCCCAAACCACATGTCTGTGCTAAAATTCAGCTCAAGTGCTCTGCCTTCAAAAGTTGAGCAATCATGATCTTTCCAACTTGAAGGTCAGGGGAGTAGTTGAAGAATATAATCTTCTGGAAGGTGGGTCTTTCTCTTCCTCCATGTTCCTGCACGTTGAGGGCTGATGTTCTTTGTCAAGTCTGGCACCTGACATTTTATAGTGTTAGGCTTTCATTTACTTCATAGGGTCCCACAAATGATGTTTTTTACATCTAGGGGCTTTCGATCCCAGTGTAGGTGGCTGTAGGGGCCCCAGAAGCTGTTTCCTTTAAGTGTTGCTTAGAGCATCTATGGTGTGTTTGTAGGGCGGCAGGAGCAGGTGAGAGAACTTCAAGAAGAGGAATTGGAAGCCAGAAGTTGCTTGAGCATAATGGTGGTAGCTTCAAATGTTTTGTCCTGAGTTTTTCAAATTTGCTGATTCATACTGTTGCATAGCCAAGAGAACCATGGCTAAGGCTTCAGAACTCTCATGTCAGATTTTGTATATATTTGATGGTAAGAGTGCATTTCCAAGAATTATAGTTTTTTTTCCTAAGAAGTTTAGGGAAACACTCCCAAAAGAGACCCTTCTGGGGAGTCTAAAATATATAGAAGGGAATTTATACAGGCTTCCCAGAGACAAGGGTGTGTAGGAAGTGGAGGGGATGACAGAGTAATGAACAGAGAGCGCGAGAGAACAGCAGGAAAATACACAAGGAAAACTGAAAGGAAAACTTTAGCAATTGCCCTAGGTTAATTATAATAGGAGGCAAACGGAAGAAGATGAAGAAAGCAGTTTGGAAAAACCCCTTGTTGAACAGTTTCATCCAGATTTCATGGCTGCTGTTAATCAGCCAACAAACCCGCTCAGAGGCTTCTTATATCTGAACACATAGTACGCATGCTCCAGGTGCACCTGAGCTGCTCAGCCTTCTTACCCCCAGAGATGCTTGCTTGGATTAGCTAGGAAAAGCAAACACAGCCCACATACAAGAGTACTGTCGAGATGCTACAGAAGATTACATTTTTAAAAATAAAATGTTTTTGGTGCAAAGCTATTTTGAAATCCATGCATAGGTTTTCATGGTATTCACTTTCTATAAATTTTTGGAAGACTCCTCCATCCCTCATAACAGAAAGAGTAATGCAATGCTGGGTCCTGGCTGTAAAAGCCCCAGCTCTTGCTGACATAAAGGTGAGTTGGGGCAGCAGGGGGCTTGGTGGAAGCATGTAGGTGGCAGGGAGACTGGGCAGGGCAGCAGCCTGGACAAAGGTACAGGGCCAAGGCTGCATGCAACCCAAGAGCTCAGTCCTTGCTTAATCCTTTACTGATTTAACAAACATCGAGGCTCTACCATGTACAGGGCATTTTTCTTGGAACTGGGAACAAATTGTGAGCTAATTGGACAGGACTCTTGCTCTTTATGGAACTGAAAGTCTTCGGAAGATGGAGAAAAGTAACCCAAGAATGACTCAAAGAGTGTGTGAAGAACAGGAACCTAAGCTTAGAAAGCAAGATGTCAGTGATGTCAGAAGTGGCTCTGCCTCCCCTGCCAGGGTGAGGCTCAGTCACCTGCAGGAAATACAGAAACCTAGGAGCAAGCAAAGACCCAGGGAAGACTGTGGTGGTCTAGGAGGAGCTGGTGGGGCAGTCAGCAGGCTGTTTTAAGCAAAGGAGTAACCCCCCAACCCATGCTATTCACACTTGCATTGTGTGTGAGCAAAAATGCAATTTCTGGCACAGGGGTTTTTTTTTAAGAGAAGTGAAACTATTTTGCATTATACTACGAGGGAGTATAAATCATTATAGATTTGTCAGAACTTGTAGCATGTGCAAGAACAGAAGTGAACTGCAACATAAGCCATGGACTATGGGTGATCATGATGTTGCATCAGCATAGGCTCGTGGTTGGCATCCATGTACCCTGTTGTGTGTGATGTTGATGGTGGGGGAGGCTGTGAGTATGGGGAGGGATTGTATGGGACCTCTCAGTGACTTTCCACTCCATTTTGCTGTGAACCTGAAACCATCCTAAAATAGAGTTCATCTACTTTTTTGAAACTGCTGTTTTTGCTTCTGTCATCCTGGGAGCAGGCTTGCAAGTCTGCGCTTCCAGGAAGCATTCGGGTGATGCCATTGCTGCCAGACCATTCATCTAAGGTGTAGGGAGGGAAGCTCTAGCAACATTTTTAGAGAAAGGGTGTTATCCAGGTGTAAAGAGTGGTTGGTAGGGCATCCCCAGGGATTGCACCAAAGCCACCAGGAGGCTGTGTTAGTAGCTTTCAGAACACAGAGCCAGAAAGAAGTGGATAGATTGGAAAGTTCCTTTGACGTCACCTTCAGGAGGCTAGGGCAGAGTAGAGCAAAGATTTCAATTGTGCATGCTCTGGAGGAAAAAGATTGAGTGATTGGAGTGCAAGTAAGTGAGGTCATGGAGGGCATTACTTCAATGCACGGGATCTATCCCACTGGGCTCCCGTGTTCCACTCTGTGTCAGAAAGCCACACAATAGCCCTTACTCAGCTATCCATTCCCAAAGCAGGTAACCCACCCCTCTCGTGCATGAGGTGAGCCCCGCCAGCTGTCCCCCACTAGCAGTTTAGCATGCACTGTTGGTGGTGGCAACAACACCTGATTTCTGTACCCCAGAAACAAGTGGCTACAAGACAGAGGGCCCAGCATGGGCAGCTTCTCCTTTAAGGCACCTCAGCTCTGAAGCAAGAGGAACAGCCTCCTACAGGAAAAGTAGGCCAAGGGTGCAGGAAAGTCATTGGCCTTTCGGTCTGCAGAGCTGCAAGACCAGAGCACACCCCTGTGGACAGAACTGCCCTGCCTGCACAAGAGTGTCCCGTGTTGCCATCAGAAGCTGCAAGCCAAGGGGACCCCTGCGGGAGAGATTTTGCCATTGTTACCCTGGGAATGGCTGTTGGAGTCCCTGAGCATTGTGTGGATGTAAATAGGGGTTAAAGAAAAGAAGAGGGAAGTCATATACACAGAATACATGTGAATGAGCTGGGACAACAGAGGAGGGAAGTGCAAATGATGCAAAACCACTGCCAGCTGCCAGACATCACATGCACCTACTTGCCCCTGTGTGGCTAGCCCCTGCCCACAGCGGCTCTGGCCCTGTGGTTGCCGCTTCATTTAGAAGCTTAGGATTGTCTGAAAGGGTCACTTCCATCTAAGACTGTGCACAACCCAGTTACCATAAGGTCTCCAGGTAGGGGAGCCACAAATGACTTTTATGCCACTTGTCTTTGCTATTCTTTCTAAATGGACCATGTATTTCTTGTACAGTCAGAGTAAACATGTGTCTCATAAGCACATTAAGTCCTCAGTGAGAATGGACGTGGTGTATCACTTGAGCTTCTGTTCACTGATTCACTCTGCAAATGGCTGTAGCAGTCAGGGCTTGTCCAGGGGTCCTCCAGGAGCCCAGGGGTCTCCTCCAGGTCTCCCACATGGGTTCAGGGCCTAAAGTCTTAAGCCATCTTCTGCTGCTTTCCTAGCTGCATTAGCAGGGAGCTGAATCAGAAACAGAGCAGCTGGGACTGGAACCGGCACCCACATGGGATGCTGGCATTACAGGTTTCTTTGACTTAGCACAATGCTTCATTTATTCTTATAGCTGAGTCATATTCCATGGTAGACTGGGTTCTTGAGATGTGAATAAACATGTCCAAAATGAATTGTGGCTACACAGGTTGCGAAATAGCTTTCTTTCCTCTATGTGTTAGTGGTGAGAATGCACAGTGTTCAGAGGAAAAAGGTAGAAAGATGGGGTAAGAGACTAACGCTGCTAAGTGGCCCCTGGGTCCCTCAGAGGGCAGTTGTCACGTATTCACCCAGCGGTGAGCAGAAGTGCCTTCCCTTTCTGCCATCTCTCCCCTCTCTTCTCACAACCTCTGCCCCTGTACGACTACCTCTGGGCCCCTGACACCGTAGGGCAGCCAATCACCATGATGACACTGGCTCCATCCTGGTGTGGTTTAACAAAGCAGGCTCCTGCATGCAGAAAGAGACCATTAAAACTCTGTGCACCTTTTGCGGTTAGTGCAACCCTTTATGTCTGTTGTTACATGATCGCGGCGTGAATTGTGTGAAAGGGGGTAGATAATCGTATACTCGTTTTGCAGAAGTGGTTCATGAGGTAAAGGTTAACTGACTTGTTCAAAGTTGTGAACGATTCTAACCCTCAGCAGATGGAGTCAAATTTCACTGTCTCGTAGCTAGCCATTCACTCAGGAAATATTTGCTGAGACCCAGCCCTATTGACACTGCAGATATGGTAGAGGACAAAGTAGACATAGCCCCCACGCTCGTGCCCCCACTCGTAATTATATGAGCATATCATATACAAGAAGTCTTCTAAAAGTTCATGGAAATGCATGTCTTTTTTTTTAAACTATGTATTTATTTGGTAATTAGAGTTACACAGAGAGAGGGAAAGACATATGCACAAAGAGAGGTCTTTCTTCCTCTGGGTCATTCTTCAAATGCCTGCAATAGCCAGGACTGAGCCAAGCAGAAGCCAGGACCTCAGACTTGAGCCATCGTCTTCTTTCCCAGGCACATCTGCAGGGAGTTGGATCAAAAGTGGAAGACCCAGTAATCAAACCAGCACTCATTTG